CCCCAAAGGCATCAGAGTTACTCACTGTCTAATATTCCTATCCCTTCAGGGTCAGACAGGTTCAAATCATAGTTTTGGCCACGAAGGCCTAAGGTTTCCTTTTTCCCCAATGAACCACGGTTAGATTCACTAATAATAGATTTAGGCCACGAAGGCCAAAGATCACTATTTCTCATATCTACCCTAAGACTCTCAGGAATACTTACCACTACACCACAACCATCAGAGTTCTCACTATCAAATTTCCCTACAGAGTTAGACCAATGTCAAATCAGAGTTTTGGCCACGAAGACCTAGTTTCCCTTTTACTCCAATGAATTCCCATGGTTAACATCTCGATACTAGATTTAGGCCATGAAGGTCAAAATTCCTTTTTATTACAATCAACCCCAAAATCCCTTAAACCCTTAAATTGACCTTAAATACTTTGAATTTACACGTTGAAAATCATGAAGACAATACTCCCCATACCTTAATTGTCAATCAAAGTCTTCTCAAATATTTCCGGGAATCCTCCGAAGCTTTTGCCTCCAATCTTCCTCCTCAGAGCTCTGGCCTCAATTCTCCTCACGGTCTAACAAATAAATCTTAATTCCATCACAATTTCCTTTTTGTTAAACCTAGACTTAGGCCTCACAATTGGGCTTTTCCCATATTATCCTCACTAACTCCTCTTAATTGTCCAATTTGCTCTTATTTCACTTATATTTATTTTAATTAATAATAATATTAATATATTCATATTATATATTATTATTCAAAATAAATAACCCAAATTCCATTAATTCCCAATATTCCACAAAACCACCGAAAATCACCGAAATGCAGATATTTTTATTTAAATAAATTAAATTAAATATTCCTATAATATTTGGGGTGTTACACCGTCAACTCTCAAAAATTCCACCTACCTTCTTATTTTCTATTAAATAAAGTATTAAAAATATAATTAAGTTCTAGTTTAATATTAAACCACAATTCCTCACTTCTACACTAATTTAAAGGTAATAAAACGCTACTCAAAATTCCATGACTTAAATAAAACAATTAAATAAGTCAAAAATCTCCAAAACTCAAAATTACATTGTGCATGTCCATTTTGCCTGCACCTTAGTGTGGAGCGAGTGAAGAGTTTAGATATGCACCATTTAATATATTCGCATGCCCTGTTTTTTGTTTTTTTTGAAATTTTATGGGTGTAAATATTGACGTAATTTTGTTTGTTTGTATTTTTAGGCTATTGAGCTGCAGTGTCACAAGACCGTTCCACCTCACCCTCATTTTTTTGTAGTACGAGTCTAGATTTTAGCCCCACACCCTCACCTATAATGAAATTTCTCATCTTTTTGAATTAGATCATACACACAAGTTAAGTTAAACTAAATTGACCCCTTAATATACATCATCTCTAAGATAATTCACTAAACTTATTTGTATAATCACTCAATTTGTTCGACAAAACACTTTAGAACCCCTACATTTTTACCCAACCTCTGTGAGATTCATTTATCCAATCACCTCTGACTCCCTCAACCATACAATAAAAATCCCGCCACCAAGTAGAGTATCTTTCAGTGCTTATATCCACCTCACTCTCCAACTCATATTTATACGCTAGAACCTTAAATCCAAAACTTTAACTATTAATCTTACCCCTCTAACACTCATTTTTCAAAAGGTCTATGTTAAACAACCTAATATTACAAACACCCAACCTACCTTGATCAACTCACAAAATTCTTGTTTCATTTAACCTAGTAAATCCTACAAGTAACCATAGCTATAAAAAAATATTTAAAAAGATACTCTTTTTTAGAAATGGCATTTGAAAATTCCTGGAGAAGGAAATGAAATAAGCCATAATGGTACACGCAACATAATTAGGAATAACAAGACATCCTCCCTTGAACACACACAATTTTTCCATCTAAGAAGTATTTTTCGATTCCTATTAATTACTGAGTTTGAAAAGAAAGCTTTCTTGGGTTACCATCGGTTGGTAACTCCTAATATTTGAAAGGGATTTTGCTATGTTTTAATGTAATATAGTGGTTTCTTCTTCAATCAAGGAATCATGGTTACTTTCACCCATACGAATATTTTTGTGGATATTTACCCTCAAATGAGAGATCAACTCAAATAACATAAGTGTTATGGGCAGGTCTCCGATCCAATACAAGGAAGGCTCAATTTCACCCATTACATCAATACCACCACTTGAGGGGAGAATGGTATGATTTTCAATCATAACTAACTTTATCCTTATTACTCAAATACTAACTTAGGCATTAGAATGATAATCTTACAAGTTAACCTCGTGCAACCACATAGGAGCAACAAGAGCCACCACATTGATGATCCACACCAACAATTTTGTTTCTATAACGGAAAAATAAGAAAAAATTTAATTGCAAAAATATTTGAAAAATATTTGGAGCTCAAAAATAAGTATTATTCGCAAATAAAAGATGAGAAAAATGTTTAGGTCTAAACTACCTCGAATAGACCGAAGACCTCTGATACTTTTATCATCACACTAAGACCTCTTAATACCAATAAGAATAGATAAAATGATAATGGACCTCCTTTCCTTTATTACCTCTTCAAAAAAATTCCTTTATGGGTCACTCATTAGCTAAGACGAATGCAAAAGTCGGCCTTAGACATTCACCTATCCACTGCCTCCACATCTCTACAAAATTCACATAATGCATCACCAAATTCAGGCATTCACATTTAAATTATTCACATGCCTTCCTAAAGTCAGCCTTGAAAAATAAAGTCTTATTAAATGTCATATAAAATTTGTCTTCCCTTTACAAAAGTCGTCAAATTTTATGAGATCACCTTTACCATAATATTTTCTTATCTATTTGCTAAAACACCTGCTAAAAATAAAGTCTTATTAAATGAATTCCATGAAAGACAATGCAGTATAGGATCTTGTTGAGTTACCTAATGGGAAGAGGGTTGTTGGTTGTAAATGGGTATTTAAAACCAAAAAAGGAATCATTAGGTAACACTGAGAGATATAAGGCTAAGATTAACGTTAAGGGATTTACTCAAAAAGAGGGTATCAATTACACGAAAACTTTTTCTCCTGTATCAAAGAAAGATTCTCTTCGTGTCATTTTGGCTTTGGATGCCTATTTTGGCCTTTAATTGCATCAAATGAGTGTGAAAAAATAATTTCTTAATGGTCATTGGTCATTTGAAGGATAAGGTTTGTATGAAACAACATGAAGGTTTCTCTTCCAGTGATGGTGAAAATTTGGTTTGCAAATTTAAATTCCATGGAACGATTTCCTCATTTGGATTTGTTGAAAACCTCATATATCAATGTGTATACCAGAATGTTAGAGGGAGTAAAATTTGTTTTCTTATTTTGTATGTGAATTACATTTTACTTGCTTCCAATGATAAGGGTTTTCTATATTATGTGAAACATTTTCTCTTTAAAAAAATTTATATGAAGAATATGGGTGATGAATCTTATGTCATCGACATTAAGATCCATAGAGATAGATCTCAAGGAGTTTTAAAACTATCAAAAGAAACCTATATTAACAAGGTTTCAGAGAGATTTCAGATGAAAAATTGTTCAGCAAATGTGGCTCTCACTATGAAGGGTGATAGGTTTAATTTGAGCAAATTTTCTAAGAATGATTTTGAGCTGGAACAAATGAAAAAAATTACCTATGCTTTTGTTGTTGAAAATATTATGTATGCTCAAGTGTGCACAAGATTCGACATTGCATTTCCTGTTGGAATTTTAGGAAGATACTAGAGTAATCTAGATATGGACCATTGAAAAGTTGCCAAGAAGGTGTCGGAGTACCTTCAAGAAACAAAATATTACATGTTTATATAGAGGCCGATATACAATATAGGTATGATTGACTATTTTTATAATCTAACTGTGTTGATTCTCGCAAATCAACTTCAAGGTATATCTTTATGATTGTCGGTGGAGCTATTTCATGAAAAAGTACTGAACAAACCTCGGTTTCTACTTATATTATGGAAGATGCGTTTGTCTCTTGTTTTAAGGAAACTTCTCATGGTGTATGACTGAAGAGTTTTATTTATGGACTTAGAATCATTGATTCTTTCTTTATGCCTCTAAAAGTTTCTACGATGATTCAACTGTTGCCATTATGGCTAAGAACAACAAAAGTGGAAGTCAAAGTAAACACATCGACATTAAGTCCATTAGAAAAAGAGTCAAAGATAAAGTAGTGGTGATTGAGCACATAAGCACCGATTTAATGATCGTCGGTCCTTTAATTAAGAGCATGCAACCACTAAAATTCAAGAATCATGTAGAAAATATGAGACTTCGTTCCTTCTTATAATTATATACATTTAGTTTATTAATAAAATTCTTATATTGTGATGTTTTCTCATATTCATGTACACTATGAAAAAATGTATTTTATTTGGACCAAAAATAAATATATAGTTTATTCATTAAATTTAATTACCACATTACTTATATGCTTAAGAAACTAAACACGTTGAATACATGGATGAAAATAATCTCCATTAGAAGAATTATCGTTGTCATTCATTTATCTATTTCTTAAGTATGATATATGATGACTCAATTTGGCTCAAGAGTTAGATCTCATAGATCAAATGAGAGAACGTAATGCTATAACAATTTTAAAATTTATTATTAATAATAATTTCCATTTAAGTGGTTGATTATATTGAGTGATAATAATTTTTAATGATCATTATATTAGATGATAATAACTTTTAATTATATTAAATAACTTATTAATTTTTAAAGGTAAAATCAAATCTATAAATAGTCTTTGGTCTCTAAGTTTACCCTCATACGAATTTTTTTTTGGTAGAAATGTTAATTCATGATCCATCAAATTAAAAAGAAAAGCTAAAAATGTGAGAAAAAATTGGATTATCTTGTATTCTCTATTTTTTTTTTTTACAAAACCAAAATGAAGAACTAATTCATTACATTTATTAATTCCTAATCACAGTTCATCATAATAATCATCACTTTCCATATGATTATCTTCATGAACTGTATTATAGAAAATAAATTCATGATTTAGCATCTCCTCCAATGTCAATTTTTTATCTTCATTATCATCAGCCTGCATCATAGAAAACCATCAATCTTTGCAATCACAATTATAAACACGAATTCTAAAAAATTTATATCAAAATTACAATTGCAGTTGCAGATCGCAATTTAGAGAAAATCGACTCACCTCATTTATCAAATAGGATGTATAATATTTCGCATAAGCTAACTCTCCAGGATAGATGTAAGGAAGTATAGGGAACAATTCTTCAGGGGTTAAGAATCTGTCAAAATCATAACATATAATAGTAACTTTAATTAGCATAGAGATTAAAAATAATTAATTACTTAATCATAAAATTTAAAATTACTTACTGGTCCTTATTCACATCAAGCTCAGTAAATTTATCATTTGCTTTAGGTACATCAACTCCATTGGTTTCAAATTCCATATAATTTTCATATGTATTATATATATGATCTTCAAATTCATTGAAATTTAATTTTCCATCAATTTCAGGATCATCCAAACGCCTATATCACAAACAAATTAAAGTCATAATAAAAACAATATATAAGAGTTTAAATTTATTTTATAGGATAAAATAATAAAGCTTACTTTAATTTATCTCTAATCAACCATTTCAACATTTCTGGATTTTTGCTATCTTCTGGGTGCAAAAAACTGTTCCAACAAGATAAAAAAATAAAATACATTTATAAAAAAATTGAATATGAGAAAAAAAAATGTTGAAATTATTTATTATTACTCTCTAAGCTCTGTGAAGTTAAGAAGGCCATTATGATCTGAATCTGCAATTTCAAATTTCTCCCTCCACCACCCTGCTTCATTATGCGCCATTTCATTTTTCTCTGTTATAAAAAAATTAAATCACGTTTTATATAAATTGAATAATTAATGTATCTGAATTAAATATAAATTCAAATAATTATAGAAGAGAAAAAAATTACCTGTATCGTTTTCAGATAAATGAGGTAGATATTCGCTAAAAGAAAGACAATAATCACCATCTTTATCCTTAGATTCTAATTGAGTTTGCGTAAAATAATCCAATCTTTCCAAAGCTCTTTGAGTAATCCAACTTTCCAATTCATTAGAAACAATAAAACCATCTTTTGTTTCTCTATCCAACAAAGGAAACAAAATCATTAATCTCAATGTGGTATTCAATTTACCACTTGAGGTAAGAAATTGATATGTCTCCGAAATATCATTAACCGAGGTTGTATTTTCCAAAACCGTACCAGAAACAACAACCTTATCATTGTAACTATCGAAATTCGTTACCCCTCTCTCAATCTTTGTTACAATCGGGTCGAAATTTGGCGCTCTTTCTAATATTTTGTAACCGAACCTTCTATTAAAGCTACCCTTTTCTTCTTCATGTTTTAATGGAGAAAGAAATTTGAAGAAGATTATTGTGGCGGTGGCTAGTAGGGTGTAAACCACCGCCTTTGTCATTTTTCAGGTGCCTTAATTTTGAGGTTCGGAGAAAAATTAGAGCTATGGAGAGAGGGGCATGGGAGAGAAGAATGAAAGGGAAAATCGGTTATATAGTTGGGATTTTATTAAGAGGATATAGAATAATGGTTAAAAAGACCAACACTTGTCATTATATATTTAGTTTTAAATTTTTAACTTTTTTAATTGGTTTATTTATTTTTATTTTATTATTTATTACTTTTTATAAATAGTTTAAAATAAAATTATGTCTTAAATAGTTTATTGATTCCTTTAAGTTAACGAGTTTTTAAATTTGATCTCTATATTTTTTTTTATAAAAATTTTATATGTTGAATTTTGTTTGGTTATAGTTATTAACGTCAATTTTCTTTTATAAAAAAAACTGATGTGGCAAAGATTGCTTACGTGATAGATTTTTTTTTTGTGTGATAAGGGTAAGGGCTAATGACTCAAAGAAAAAGAAGATTACAAAAACATCTCCTTAAAGACGGAACTTTTCATCTTACCCTCAACTAGCAAGTGATCAATAAAACTAGGAGCAATAGAAAGACAAGGAGAATCCAAATTCGATTTACACCCAGTTTTGGCCAGGGCCAGGATATCAGCACATTGATTGACTTCCCTGTAAGTATGCGAAACAAAAACCTCTTCAAAACGGCCTAATAGGCTCTCAGTCTTTCGAAACATCTCTAACTCATCACTTCAACCAGATCTTCCTTGATTAATCGCTAAGGCAATCTTAGAAAGATCTGTGTTAACTTCAACTCTCATAAATCTCAAATTTAAGACAAGTACCAATCCTTCAAGAATACCCCATACTTCTATCATATAATTACTACAAATTGTCACATTCTTGGAAAAGCCACCCAACCAAAAGCCCTCCTAATTTCTAATCAAGCTTCCACAACAGGAAGAAACACCCTCGATGCAAGCTCCATCTACGTTAAGTTTTCACCATGCCCGACCTGAAAGACACCCACTAAACAAGTTTAACTTCCTTAATTCTACCAACAACCTTATTATTCATACCGAAGGCTTCAACATACTCTCTCAATCGAATGGAAACATGATAATTAAGATGACAAGGCCTAACAAATTCCTCTATGCTCCTCTTGATTTCGCCAATACCATATAGAGTGACAAACCATAACCCAATAGTAACTCCATCCACCATCATTCTTGAGAGAAAACCAATCCTCCAAGTCAAGATTAAAGAAATTGTGGTAGATATCCATAGGAACTTGATTCAACCAAACCTCCATAGCTTTAGGGAAACCACGTAAAGCATGCATGGTTGTTTCAACAGTATGGCCACAAAGCCTGCATCTAACAGATCCAAGCCCTCTAATACTCTTGCTCAGATTCGTCAAAAGTCTATCATGCTTCAAAAGCCAAATAAAAGTTCTCACTCGCTCAGGAACTTTCAACCTCCAAATATTCTTTCATTCACGTACAACAACATTATGATTATGCTTTGCCATGAGTTTGTAAAATTGTTTAACCAAACCATCCGCAAAAGGCACACCCTCCATCTGAAGGCAGTCCTCTACAACTTTATATCTCATATCAGGAGGTTGAGTATTCTTGATTTTATCAATAATCTCCCCAAATAAAACTACGTTGAAGTGTGTGGATCGAATTTTTCGTCTGTTGGTGGTGTCTCCCCAAATAAAACTACGTTGAAATCTGTGGATATCTTTTATGCAAGCCTTAGGAAGAAGATTTATTATTAGTTGAAATATTAAATATTTGAAAGATTAATAGTTGAAATATTTAATAATTGAAATATTAAATAGTTGTAAGATTAATAGTTAAAATATTAAATAACTGAAATATTTAATAAATTAATTATTTAATAAACTAATAATTGAATATTAATAACTGAAATATTAAATAGTTAAAATAATAATAAAATAAATAGTTGAAATATTAGATAGTTGAAATACTAATTAAACTATTTAGGTAATTCTAGAATCTTTTATGTAATATATAAATTCATTGCAAACATATGTATTGGTTGGTCTAGTGGTTATGTACTATGTTAAAGTTATGGTCATTAGTTCAACTCCTTTTGCCACCATTTTTTAAACTTTGCATTCCAAAAAGAAAGAAAAAATATATTATATATATATATATATATATATATATATATATATATATATATATATATATATATATATATATATATATATATATATATATATATATATATATATATATATATATTCACTCGTTCTGAAGTGCTCATTTCAACACTAGTATATATAATAGCAAATGCACTTAAGGGAGTTTGCAATGCGATTTGAGCGGTTTTGGTGTTAAAAGTCATTTGAACCGTAAGAGAAAAAATATGTGGTTCAGTTTGATTCAATTGACTTTTAAAAATAAAATAAAATCAAAGCAAAGCAAACTAATAGAGTTTGGATTGGTTCATATATATATATATATATATATATATATATATATATATATATATATATATATATATATATATATATATATATATATATATATATATATATATATATATATATATATATATATATATATATATATATATATATATATATATATATATATATATATATATATATATATTCACTCGTTCTGAAGTGCTCATTTCAACACTAGTATATATAATAGCAAATGCACTTAAGGGAGTTTGCAATGCGATTTGAGCGGTTTTGGTGTTAAAAGTCATTTGAACCGTAAGAGAAAAAATATGTGGTTCAGTTTGATTCAATTGACTTTTAAAAATAAAATAAAATCAAAGCAAAGCAAACTAATAGAGTTTGGATTGGTTCGATTTTTTACAAGATTTTTATTAGATCGTACGTACACATATAGAGTACGACATAACATTGTGTTTAGTCATGATACATTACCAAATAACAAAAATAAATCATCATTTTGGACAACAACTTCTTATTTAATATAAAAAAAATCATTTTAGACAAAATATGAATAAAACAAACATAAAATCATAGCATAAAACAATATAAAAACATTTTAATGAAACAAAAAAAAGGAGATAAGAGAATAGAGAAGATGAAAAAGAAAGAATAGAATAAAGGAGAAACTAGAGAAGAAAAGACGCGATAAAAATGAAATTGGAATAGAGAACAATAACGTAAAATGAGAAGATGAAAAAGAAAGAAAATGAAACATAAGAGATTAGAAAAGAAAAGGGGAAATGTACCTGGCAAAAAAGATGAGAAGAAGAAACAATAATGCTAAGAGATATTTGAGAAGGCTAAAACGGAAACCCTAAATTCCCTAATTCCTTAGGCTAATTCACTAATCTACACAATAATGCACTAACTACTTAGGCCTATTTAGAGTTAAATTAGGTGTTCTAAGTTAGTTAATTAAAAACCCACAACTTCTAATTACTTATCCCTAGTTAATTACAAAGTTTTAATAATTGCTATAGATTCGACTAGTAGACTAATGGTCAGAAATACTTACTCATCTGATATCAATACATGCATTTGTCAATACATAAAAAGCAATGAACACAAGAACAAATAAATAATAACAATAACATAAGATAATTTGATTAACATCAAAGATCCATATAATCCAACAAGTACAAGTAAGTTTGTCTAAAAAGATCTAACCTAAGGAATCTAGCTACTTATGGTGAATATAATCTAGCTACTCATGGTGAATATAACAAATACCATGAGAAAGAACATGAAAATCAAAGAAGATAACGATCTTCAATGGTTTCCAAAAACCTCAAAATTGTGAATTTGGTATACCAAGACGTCACTTTCTCTATCAAAATGTGAAATTCCTCAAAAGTACACAAAAAAACCCTATTTTTAGTAAATTCTGCGTGTAAGAGTAGCGAAACATCGCGCCCCAATGGCTTTCAACGCGCCACAATGAAGCTTTCATCATAGCACGATGGGATGCAACACATGCGCGTGAAATTCAAGGGAAAATCTTCTTTTTTTTCTTCATAATTTTTCTTATTCCCATTTTTCCAGTCTTAGTTTTCGCTCCATTCCTTCACACATTGACATGACTTATGCTCATTATTTCAATTCTTTCATCTGAGTTTGCTAATAAAAATCATGTAACGATAAATTTCATCACAATCCTAAACTTATTTTGTTGCTTGTCCTCAAGTAATATGTTTGCACAGATAACATTTCATCAGAATTAAAAAGCTTACCCTTATCTATGAACGTCACCTTTCTTATTGTTGTTTATCAACACGTATGTTCCTTGCTTCAATCCAAGTAATCATAAAAGTTCTTCCTAACATACCACTACTCAACCTGTCTCTCATCACACATATATGCACTCAATTTGAAAGGGTAATCACACAATCAACGTACAAAATAATTTTATAATGAATATGTAAAGTTTCTAACCGAATCAATCAAGGTCATATTTAAACACACACTTTCGAGGTCTTTCCAAGGTTGTAATATGACTTATGTCAAGGTAAGATAATTTAGAATAATAGGTTTAAACCTTTGGAGTTAGGTACTTAGCTTTTCTTTTGTTATCGGGATCCTTCCGTATCAGTCTTTCTTGTTCACTTGGTACTAGAAAATTCTTTTTGTTAGTCCTATTTTTCAAAAAATTGAAGAAATCATTTTTAACTTTTTTTTTCCTTTTCTTTTTATTTTTTTTTTACTTTTTGACCAGTTTCTCTAATACCCTAACCTCAAACATAAATATTTAATCTTTCAAGTCCATTGACTAAGTGGTTGGCAACGAATATAATCATATTAAACATGGTGACATAAAAAAGGTCAGAGTATTCATAAACAATTGACTTAGTGTATTATCAGACCAATAGACTCGAACAAAAAAAATGAAAATTTTAGAAAATAACGAATGCGTGGATACTCTCATAAGAAGAAAAAGTGAACAATATAAAAATTTGGTTTAAACCTTACTAGCTGAGGTATTTGGAGATTGAGTACAAGTGGTCAGCTTCTCTTTTCTTTGTCAAATGTCAATATACAAAGGAGCTT